TTACGATCGGTTCGGTTAGGAAAAAAGGCAACCGAATCCCACCTCTGAAAGAGACTAATGAAAATCTATAAGAATGTTTTCCTCATATGCTTTTCTTCATAAATTATTACAATTTGACTGAATTTTTTTTATCAGTGAGACAATCGAATTACAAAATGATAAGTATCATGAATCTTCGAATATTCTAACAATTTTCAAACTATAATTATTTAAGAACAATATATCATTTTTGAATGGAAAATTTTGTGATTCGATTTTTTTTCACAAATACTTTTCCATATATAGAAAAAAAACAAAATTAAAACTGTAATAACTTATGAAAAACAAGCATATTAGGACAAGTTGTTAGAAATTTCTAATAGCCTCATTAGGATGTACGTATCGATAAAATATCTTTTCGATTAAGCAATCATACTAGAAGATGTTTCACGTTGTACGAATAATTAATATCAATATAATACACCTGATTTCACCGAAGTCCATATGAATTAAATAATTTATCAATATGTAACTACTAGATATAATTTAAGCTTATGATATGAAGTAAATATTTACTCATCTATTGAATAAAAAAAAACATCACAAGAGCATAATGTAATAGTATTCATCAAGTAAAAAGATAAGCGTGAGAAAAAATGCCAGTAGTAGGCGCAAGTTACAAAAAATGAAGTAAACACCACTTGAAAATAAAATAATGATTTGCAATAGGATATCATATATAATCTTCTGTACACTTTGACGCGATTTTTAATAAATAATTTCATCCTTAAAGAGAAAAAAAACCATAAAGTATATCATTGATTAACCAATAAAAGTACTTATTAAATCTATGAGTGAAAAAAACAACAACAGACGAATATAAAATAAATATACGTTCTATTTAATCACATAATAAAAAAAATCATGACATATGAAGTATATAAACAAAATATGTTGAGCTCATTTTGATTTATCGCTAATTTAGACGCGCCTGAAGTGTCAAAAGCGTCTATGACATCGAACTTTTCCAACACACTTCAGCTGATTTACGAACTACCAATTCTAGAAATCATGATATTATATTTCGATATGTATCAAGAAAATACTTTTGATCAAATAATTTTTATACATCTTCTCATCAATTTTTTATTTCGAAATCTTAATAAAATCTAGAAAAAAAAGAATCATATAAAGTAAAAAACTGAAATAAATAAACTATGTATGTTTTTTTATGTTTAGAAAATTCAAAATTTGTCAAAAAAATAACAATACTAACCATTTCTAAAAAACACCATTAAAATATTAATTATATAACTCTAGTAAATCATTATAAAACACTACTCATATGTTGTTGCTATTCGTAGGAATATTGTACGGGGCTCCGATTCGTCCTATAATTCCTATTTTTTTGAAAAATCCTATATTTCGATTGATTTTCCTATATTTTGTCAAAAAAAAGTGGAAAAATTTTACGAGATTTGACTTTGTCCTGAGGGGAAGTACGGGGATCTTCGCGGCGCTCCCCGCTCTCCCCGGTCATCACTTTTTACGCAAAAACCAGGTAATGTGAATAGCTGTTTCTTGCAAGTAAAGCACATACATTTGAGGTGCAATTCAACGTACAATATCTAAATTTTGGTCACTTTTTTACTTTTTTTTAGTGAAAATAATCGTATAATTCAGAAAACGAAATCCTATATAGGAATTCCTATAATTTCGAAAATTTGTAATCGAAGACCAGATATTGTATAATAATACGATTAAAAATAGCCATCTCCTACTCAATCATTTAAAGCTAAAACACATAATATTACATAGATATGTATACTAAGAAAATCAAATTATTTTTATCTTAAGCCATCATGTTTTGCTCGATTGTCAAAAAAAGTATTATTTAGAAACATTTTTTATGAGTTCTGTTTTTGTGGCTGGTTCATCACATTTCCAATTACAACAAATGAACAAGACGTATCTATATCTATTGCATCAAAGCATCTAAAAAAAACAAAATAAGACAATTCAGTATCTATCACATCAAGCATTTAAAAATAAAATTCTTCTCGCGTCTAACTCATGAGACTATAAACAGATGAATCGTCTTGTAAGACGGTTGATATTTTTTATAGTGGGAAATCGTCAATAGATATTCATCAAGCACAGGTGAAAGTAAGATGTCTTCTGTAAAGTTTGATTTAGCGTTCGTTAGATAAAACAAATTGTTTTAATCGCAAGTACGCTATAGTTAATTGATTTTATGATGAAAGAAGATAGTGACGTTTGCGTCAAAATGCTAGTAAATTTCAGTTCTATAATATAACAAAGTCTTTTTTAAAATAATTTCTTTGTAATCTTTGCCTAGGATTTTCACCGTAGCACTTTTAATTTATTGATAAATAAAGTGGTAAACATTTTTATTGAAACAATCCGAAGAGAAAGTCAAAATATTATGGAAATACAAGCTTTTTTTTTATCGATTCTTTCTGGTATACTAAAACAAATATCTTAGAATTTTATTTCACAAAAAAAAAGGTATACTTTTCATAATTCATTTGTATTTTTTATTTTATAATAAAATTCTTTCTGTTCTAATTAAATAAATGATTACTACGATAAATTCTTCGAATATTTTTTTTTGCAGGTTGAATTGTCTTTCAATGAAGTTAATAATCATCTTTGTAAATGATAAATAAAACATTTGACTTCTGTCTAAAAAATATATTTATTACATTTGTTGTATATTCTGAAAATAGTTTAAACTCTCAATTTATTATTATTGAGATAAAATACTTTTAAAGTAATTTTTAAATGAGTATTGAGGTCTATTCAGAACAATTACTTTATTAATATTGCATAGAGACAGATCATAATGAGAATAGGTTATTGTGAGTGTTTTAGATCTGTTCATTGTTCTTATTTAAAGATATAGATATGATAAAAATATTTCTATCATTTTCCTGACAATTGCAATATGTTAATAGCAATAAGTTAACGATCTACCCTCAATTGAGTGCACATTATACAAAATAGCCCTCATTAAAAAGCAATTAATCAACTGGTTGACCTTTCTCGTTAGAAAAAAAAACTTATTTCATCTGACGGATATCACTTTTTTTTTGATCATCTCTTATGAATTTTGTTTTAGTTAATATGATTTATGATATAATTTGCTAAATATCATAGCAAAATTTAACTATAATTTTTAGTTTCAATTTAAACAAATTTTTTCTTATCGTTTCAGTTAAAATTTAAAAAGCGATTGATATTGATTATAAATAAAATATATTAATGATTTGCTTAAATAATAAAACAACATATTTTATGAGTAGAAAAAATTGAACAATAAGATCTTAAAAAAATAACACTTAGATAGAACACATATAGATAAAATTAAAAACTTCATAAAATAACAAAGAAAATATGTTTTTTTTTTTTTTTTAAGAAAAAGTAACAAAATTAGAATAATATAGCATGTAAAAGAATGAAAAATATAAATAATTCAAGAACGAAAAATATTACTCTTCTAATCACTAAGAGAACTCGTACAATTATCTAAGAATAATCGAACAGACACAAAAAAAGAAAATAATAATAAACTACTTATACATGAAAAAATTTGAATTTTTTTTTTCTACTACTCAATTTTTATACAAATAATCACTGGGTAAAATGGCTAAATATAAATTGAATAAGATGAATATTTTCATTTTTGATATAAATACATATATGATGTTCATAGCAAAAAAAGAAAATTCATTTAATCCACATGAACATTGCAATGGAACGAAAAAATAATTCAAATATTGATACCAATAGATCGATCACAAACAACAAAATTGACTTTCATAAATCATCTGAATATGAAATGCTTGTTTTTTCTTTTTCTTTATGAAGTATTTTCTTTTGATGATTCTTTATTGACATTCATCGAATTTCGTTGATTTTGAAAATGCATAATTTTTAAAAGAACTAATTGTATAAATTTTCGAACATTAGTTTCATGTTTATGAAAAATATTTTGTTCAGTTTGTAATATTTGATCGAATTTTGCTTCTATTAAATATATATATATATTTGAAACATGAACAATGTTCTAACTATACCTAATAGTGATGTTCGTATGTAATATTTGTTTGAATTTGATTTTCTATGATTTCCAATATCATTCAACAATTGTTTATTACATGATAATGGTTGATCTAATTATATTATTTAATTTTGATTATAAGAATAACGAATATAAAAAGAAAAATTAACAAACCTGATATTTTATTAGCATTTGAACTAATCTCAAACATATCAAATTTTTCTAAACAAAAATAAATTAAAGAAATTTTAGATGCGGAAAAATAATGACTGACTTTCTACATAATCATTATAATATGAAAATATACCATTTTGCTGTTCAGTTAAAATACAATGTTTAATATCATCTTTGCAATAAAATGATTTGATGAAACTATATAACATTATATCATGTAATACGCATTGAAAACCACAATCTAGTTGTCTAGCAGAATCTTTTTTCAACATTTGCTTATCATTTGAATCTTAAAATATTTGTATCAAATATTATTAAAGAAGAATATTTTTCTAAAATTATTTACGTACCATCATATCTTATCGGTATGTTAGTATTATGTTTGATATTAACATTGAATTTATTCTGTACAGTTGTCTTTAAAAAAGACAACATTTTTTTTTCTATCATTATATCATCTACAAAAATATAATGGTAATATATTATTAATAGATAAAAAAAAACCAACTAAAATATTTTCTCTTTATTTTTTTACCTTGATGAATATTATTTATTTCATGAAACATGAACTTATCATGTTCTTGAAAATGTATTACACCTGATGGTATGACTTTCCAAGTAAAATAAGTACAACCTAAATAGATAATATAAAAAAAAATATGATGAACAAAAAAAAATTTACAAATTTATTTACCAAAAAAACATATCAAAATCATAAAAAGTTTAAGAAATTTTTGTGTATATACTAAATTTATAAAAATAAATTTAAAATATTATACTTATTAACAATAAATAAAACGTACTGTGAATATCATCAGATACGTTATCTAAAAAAAAAAAAAAAGAAAGAATTAGATTTAAAAGATAAATCACAAATTGATGAAAGTACCTGCAAACCAAGGTGTTGTTTGTCCTCCTAACACATTCAAATAATAGTCATCACATATAATATGATTATTTATTTTTTGATCTAATGATTATTTTAAATATATTTTATTTATATATATAATAAACAAAAAATAAACATACCACTAATTTGTTCAATTCCATCGTTATATAATTCTGAAACTTCTTGAGAAAAATCTATAAAATAGAGAAAAACGAAAAAAAAAAACAGAAGTTTAATAGAATTTATTTTTAATATTTTTCATCTAGAAGAATTTACTAAAAATTATTCAAATAATAATTTAGATAGTAGTCAAAGTGATTCGAAAAAAAAAACTATGATAGAAGATTTTTTTTTCTCTGAATATAATTACTTTCATATTTATTAGATAAATAAATATATTCCAATGGAAAAAAAAAGAAATGTTTATCATGTTTTTAATATGTGAATAAATTTTTCGATTGCTTCACAATGATTCGAAACTATATTTTTTCAATCCCGGAAAATAAATAGCTGTATTCAATATACTATAACACATAATTTTTAGTTTCTATTCAAGAAACAAATAAATAATTGTTAGAAATAGTCATTTTTGTTTTCGTTTTTTACTAAAATAAAATATTGATTAAAGCTCATAAGACAAATAGAAAGTCCTTACATTGATCATCAATCGATTCATCCATCATCAATTAATAATTGACGTTGATCATATATATATATAAAACAATCGAATATCGTTCCACCGGATATTAAAATAATAAATCAAAGTATTAATTGATCTAAATAATGTTTATCTAAAAAATGAAGTACTTTATATGAAAACAATCGAAATTTAATTTTCTAGAAGAAAACAAAAAATTTAAAAAAAAAACAACATGTCTATACTAGAAAGAAGTTTATTATCAAAATAACAGAATTTTATTTTAAATGTATTTTGACCAAGTATAATAATATTCTTACATTATATGTCATAGTTACAATATAGTGTAACATAAATAATTATTTTTTTACATTCGTCATTTATCGAAACATATAGATAGTTTTAACAAGTAAATTCATCTATTGTTCTCTATAAAATAATGTCATTATTTCGTCATCGTATAGAATAAAGTAGATGAACTTGCTAGTGTGAAACAATCCATATGTATGTTTTGATTCGTATCCAAATAGCTTTCTCTTATTTTATTTAAATATATAATATCTTCATATATTACTATGCATCTATCATAAAGAACAAAGGAGAGAAGAGTAAGGGACACGAAGAAAAAATAAGGAGCACCAATCATAAGCGAGAGAAAAGAAAAGAAAGAGTAGAGAACATCAAGGATCTGTTGATCATCATAATATGATTGTTAACTATATACTAAATAAAGAGCAAACGAAAGATTGACACATAATGAGAGATCGAGGATCACACTTTCATTTCTAATATATATATCACTTCTTGATATTATATTTTTTTTTGTCGCCTCATACTAAAGAAATGTTTTTTTTCGTATTTATCTCTCACAAAAACAAAAACGAGCGTCTTGTTTATTTCTTTCTTGTCCTTGTAACATGAATTTTGTTCTTTTTTTCTATTCGTTCTATTTCGTTTGTACGAAAAATATAAATTAATTTAACTAAAATTGTATAGGTACGTGATATTGTCACTATAAATATAGTACTAAAATGTAATAGGATTATTTCAGCATATTATATAAGATTTTTACGACAGATATTGTCGCAGAATAATGAAGTTTAAGAGTAGAAAAAGAACAAAAATCTTATTTTTCATTGATAATATTTATTTTTTACTTATAAGAATTAACTACAAAAGAATCATTTCAAATTAAATTAATCAAACAATAACAATATTTCGAATTTTACTATATTAACATTTTATCATAGAAAAACGCATTTATTTGTTTTTATCGATTGACTTGATTAATGAACAAACAACTCATTTATATTTAGAACAATAGATATATAGTTAAGTGTTATATTCAATCCTATTATGCACTGTTTTGCATTGATAACCTTTGTATTTTGTATCCTCTGATTATGGTCTCCATTGTCTGTGTCATAAATAGAGAGATAAAGAAAAATACTATCCCATACTCTATAGTATGTCAAAACGTCTATCGTACAATCTTCTATTAACATGTGAAATAATGATGAAAAAAAATAAGATAATATTTCTTTTTTTTTTTGTTTGTTTTTCCACACTGGTCATATAACAGATTATTGGAATGATCTTCTTTTCAGCAGCAAAGATTTTTTTTTTCCTTATGTAAATAAATTTGCATACTTCTTGTCTTTTCTGCTATCACTAGTTTTTGATTATTAGTTTTAAATGAAAGAAACCAAAAGAAAAAAAAAAGATTTTCGTTTTGATCGCTTTATCTATCACTGAAAGTATGTTTGCTAGTCAAAAAAACAATATATATATTCTATCGTTTTATTTAAGAAATAATGTCAGACATACTCATGCTTCATATGAGTATTCACTACTTTAATGAGCTGTATTCAAAAATGTTTCATACAAACTTCATAAAATATCAAAAAACAAATGTTTTCATATTTTACTGACTACTAACGAGTAATTGATTACATATTTCATCTTTATACTGGACATTGTTCAGTTTCTTTCGAAAATTCAAATCATGAATTTTCGTTTCACACCTCCATAACTTCTGATGAGTGAAAGCCTGATTAATCTTTTTTTTTAATCCGTGACAACTTAAAAGTGTTACAACATATTGAAAAGTTCATAAGATCTTATCTATGGAGAAAGTTTCGTAATTCAATCACCCTACAAATACTCTGCTAAAGATTAAAAAAAAACTAGGTAAAATTGTAATAATTTGAGAAGAATAATAGATGAAGATGAATTCTTTAAGACTTCGACTAGTCTCATCAAGATGAAAATCTCGAATAAATACAACTATTATTTTCGAATATTAATGAAAAAGAATATTGTTAAATTTAAGAAGGTCAAAGTTTAATAAAATATATATTGACTGAATATTTTTCAATTATAATCATAGAATAATTCTTGAGATGCAATCAACTGTAATCCGAAGTAATATTGTAAAGTAGCAAATTATGAACAACAATGATATGCATTACAGATGAATAAAAACTTACTAATTTATTGAATAAAAATAATGATGATGATCAATGAACAAGAAACGAACATTTATGAAGTAAAAAAAAAATATAGATAATAAAAAAATTTGATGATACTGAGCAACAAAACAGGGGAATAATACATGAAAACTTATCGAATGATGTCAGTTACATATTCTCTAATGTGTTTCTAGGTGTTACTGGCAAATACCCTAATCAAAGAAAAAAAAACATGACAATGTCATACAGCAAAATATACCATTGATTGGCACATAAAAGTATTGATTGGTGTAAATAGCCAATTGACAATTATAAAATAAAAATACGTAATACTTTTGATGTATTCTATGTAATCACTAACATCAATGGAGATACATCATACATAGGTGAAGGATAGGGAGAAATCCATTTCAAAATGCGTGATTTGCTGGTTAATAGCTTGTTACATAAAGCAAAGTGTCTAGTCATGAATAGATTATGGCTTTTATGATCATATTTAAGAATATGAAAAATTTTTTTTCTAAATCCTTCTATTTCAGAAAATATAATCGATAATTAGAACATCAAAAGAATAATATTACTAAATATTGATTCATAATTAAATATGTTCCTATATCTATACATTAACGAAACAAATAAACGAAGACTTTTGTATTATTATTTCGTTAGTCTAACATCAGTTGTGAATCATTATGACATTGTTCATGTGTAAAATACTTTTATTTATTACATTCGTTTTCATAATGAATACAATATATTTTAGCAGTATTTTTAAGTAATTTACATAATACGTATTCTTGTAGGCGAACTAATGAAATTATTTTTTTTTTTGTAAAGAAGAAAAATTTGTCGATCATGAAATGGATGTGATATGTACATTTTTGTAAACATTCATTCAAATTGATGATCTATGACAAATAATTTGCAGTTTCTTTTTATACAAGAAAAGTTATAATACATGCCCGAATTACAATTGAAAACTAAGTCCAACTTTAAACTAATTGTTCATCGATTTAATCTATTGAACAAAATTATTTAAGAAACTTGACTGAACTTTTTCTGGATTGAGAAAGTTGAATCTGAAAATAGTTTGCAAATTTTCTTATTATTGAAATTTTCTAATGTACGTATTGTATATTTCCCTAAAACTTATAGAACATATTATAGTAGTTTTACTTCAATCTATTCATGTATACCATATATATAGGTTTTTTTCCCTTCTTTACCTGTAATACACACACATGTATATATATATATATATATGTATATATGGGCACATTGCAAAATTATTGTACCGTTTTGTGCAGAAAAAAAGAACGAAAAAAACAATTTTCGATTTTTTAAACGATGATCAGTGCATTCTATGATATTATATGAAAAGAGAATCTAAATAAATTTTCCCGACTACCACTATCAGATTGACTGAGATGTGAGAGTTTTTTTGTTTTAAATTACTTTTTAAATTCAAGATCATATGATTTTGACATATCTCGCTTCAGTTGAATTTTTTGACAGTATTTTAAATTTTTACGTTGAGCCTTTTCTTTGTGATGAGGAATGATGCTTAATCGAAAAATTAGCGCTTGAAACAGAATGATATTGTCTAAAATGTTTTTTGATTTTTATACTTATAAAGCAATAAAATTTACAAATGTGCAGTCAATTAGAGAATATATATAATTATTGTCTTTTTTTCTGTGAATTTGTTAACTTGTGAGACACAATCTAGAATTAATTCGCATGACTCTTGATAGCTCTTTAAATATGAAATCAATTGATATATAATGTATTTATTTTGGCTTTAGCTGTAAAGTAGTTTGTCTTTGGTCACTTTTATCTTCCATTCAATGACTCTCGTTCAACATCAATTCGATCAATTTCAGATGCGTCATTACATGTCAAAATTATTTTTAATCTCGCGAGACAGCAATTCGAGGATTGATTACACCAGAAGTGCAGAATCTATTCACATGCACGATCGGCCAGTCAGGAAAATTTCTGAGAAATTATTAGTAGCTGGGAAAATTCCTTGAAAAAAGATGTTTCTTTCCTAGGAATATTCTTTTTTTACACTTCTGAAAGAATCATCAAGTCTTTCTCGTAGTGTATATATAGTCACAGAGTAAATGAGAAATCTTTAACATATTTGAATAATAAAAATTCTTATGATCTACATCTTATTCAGAGGCGATTGTAAAAATTTTCCCTCGTTATCTATATGATCATATGTATGTATATACGTTCTTTTTCTTTCTATTGTTATTAGTCATGCGCCACGGATTTGTCCTTTCTGTCATATATGTGTGATGGACTTCTCCTTTTCTTCTACTATTCTTTGTTTCAACTTGTTTTATGGATTTTTTCCTCCTGTTATCGTCTTATATATAGTCGTTAGATTATTACGAATTAAAGAAGATATATTCGCAAATAATTTAACAAGCATTGAGATCTCACAGAAATATACTCAAGCAAACAACGGGTTACATGTTTTTATTAGTTATATGAAAGATAGACAATGACTATTTTATTTAATAAGTGAACAATATCAAGTTTGGAAACTTGTTTCTTCCGACTCACGAGAGAAGGTCTCCACCTGTCAAATCGATTTTTGATCGAGCATATGCTTAAACGATAGACCTCAATGAGCTATTAAATACTCTACAAGGGTCTGATTATTCAGGCCTTCTGTGAAGAGATATGCGATTATTATTATTAGTAATTTTGTTGTACTACTCTACTAATGTATTTGATATGTTGGCTAAATATGCTTTGTTCCGGCTCAAATTTATATCAGTATTGAGGTCCTCTGTACTGATTTAGATCCCAGAGTTTCAAGATAAATTATTGTTTCTTATCGTAGATATGTAATTGGTTTGACATACCGATTGGTTATTAAAAAACAACATGTGCTCTCACTCAAAGATGCAAATATTGATTCATCTGATATTTTCAACACACATTCAATTCATAGTGAGTATGCATGTGGAAATGTTAGTTTATTTTCTGGTTCTTTAGTTAATAAAAACTAGAGTCATGGATTCATGTACTTTTCATCATTTGATCTATTTTCAGTGGCATGCTTATAGACCAGAAAAAAGAGTCAACAAAAACAAAGAAAATGGGATGAATTATGTAATTCGTGAAAGTGAGAATTTTTGAGAAAATGTTCAATACATAATATATAATTACGATAAACTACACATAGTGAACAAACATAAGGAGCAATCATATTCCTGCTATTTGTAATAGTAGTAGAAATTAATTATCATGATTAAATATACCTATATATATTCAATGCGGACATGTGCTCCTCCAGACAATCCTTCTTTCATTTTACATATCAATCTCTTTTTAACTACATCAGGACACAATTATCTCTCTTTGTCGACTCCGATTATCAACCATTGTATGAAAAAAAAAACGCATTGAAACACAAAAAAAAGTAAGTTGGATCAATTGAAATACATATGCAAGATATCGAAAACTTTGTAAAATTGAGTTTAGTACATTAGTACCGTATGTTTGAATCCATGGCTCGAGTTTTTATTAACTAAAGAACCAGTAAATAAACTAACATTTTCACATGCATACTCACTAGAAGTGTGAATTTATTGTTATTGTTATAAATAACAATAACAAAAAATAGTTACTGTTCTCAATAACAATAACCTTTTTTTTTGTTATTTGTTATAAATAACAAAAAAATAGCAAATAACTTTTTTTTTCTGAAGAACCTTCAACTCGAATTGCTGTCTATCTCAACAATACCAATTCTATTGGTCTATGTTTAAGAAATGAATTTGCTACAGTAATGACATCAATCGATCTGGAAATTTAAAAATTTGCATAGATCATATACCGAGTGGGCCAAAAGTAACAGAAGAAATAATTTTTTCGATTTTTTTTCTTTTAAATATCGACAGTTACATCTCATATATATACTACATATACTAGGTGATACTAGTTAGAGATGTGTCATATGATCAGTCTCTAGGCATAGCAATTTGTTCCAAAACATATAGAATCGAATTTGTATTTCAAAATGGGATGAACAAACAAGGATATGAAAATCGTATGTAACACAAAAAACATTGAATTTCTCATATAGTCACGTACGAGCAATTAATACCTGTATATACTTTGAAACAAATTGCTATGCTTAGAGGCTGATCATATGACGCATCTCTGACTAGTATCACCTAGTATATGTAGTATATATATATGAGATGTAACTGTCGATATTTAAAGAAAAAAAAATTTCTCCTGTTACTTTTGGCCCACTCTGTATATGATCTATGCAAATTCTCAAATTTTCAGATCAATCGATGTCATAGCCGTAGCAAATTCATTTCTTAAACATAGACTAATCGAATTGGTATTATTGAGATAGACAGCAATTCGAGTTGAAGGTTCTTCAGAAAAAAAAGTTATTTGTTATTTTTTTGTTATTTATAACAAATAACAAAAAAAAGTTATTTGTTATTTTTTTGTTATTTGTAACAAATAACAAAGATAGTTATTGTTGTTGATAACAATAACTTTTTTATTATTGTTATTGTTATTAATAACAAGCGAATAACAATAATTTCTCACTCCTAATACTCACTATGAATTGAATATGTGTTGAAAATATCAGATGAATCAATATTTGCATCTTTGAGTGAAAGCACATGTTGTTTGTTAATAACCAATCGGTGTGTCAAACCAATTACATATCTATGATAAGAAACAATGATTTATCTTAAAACTCTGGGAACTAAATTAGTACAGAGGGCCTCAATACTGATATAAATTTGAGCCGGAACAGAGCATGTTTAACCAACATATCAAATACATTAGTAGAGTAGTACAGCAAAATTACTAATAATAATAATCGCATATTTCTGCTCGGGCAGCCTGGAAAATCAAACCCTTGTAGAGTATTTAATAGTTCATTGAGGTCTATCGTTTGAGCATATGCTCGATCAAAAATCGATTTGACAGTGGGAGACCTTCTCTCGTTAGCTGATGGATTATTATTGTTACGTGAAACTTATGGAACTTTGAAATAATATTTCAAAAAAACAAATACAACTATTAAAAATCATACCTATGAGATGGATTAGTTCTTTTAGCTGGAAGTTCATTTCGGTTAATACAACCACCAAAAGGTCCTGATGGTGGTAGAGGATTTTGTTTCGGTGGATCAAATTATTTCGTCATTGGATCATCAAGTTTTTCAATTTGTGCCGCAATAAATAACAATAAATACTTGTCGATATTTATTAATTTGTTCCCGAGCTACATCTATTTAAACATTGAAAATTATTTCACTCATATAGAAAGTAATCATCTAACAAGTAGGTCTTATTACGTACTAATATAAAACATACCTCAATTTACTTGCTTAAACTTTGCATGACGATGTATCTTTTTGTCTAGATGATTTCTTGATCACTTACTGTTTGGAAGTGTGTTCAGAGATTAATTAATGTTCAAGAACTCGAAGAATAGGTATTATTAATTTCTATCAAACTAGAAAATAGCAACTAGCAAATTTTGCAGAAAAAAGTGACGGAGGTGTCGAACCGTAGATTCGAACCATATTTTCTATTAGTGTGTAATGTGAATAATCGAGCAGTTTTTGTTGTATGTATATTTTTTAGGTGTTCTAGCGAGCACTCTAACTCGTTTTTCCAGCAGTGGACAATTGGAACAGTCGATGGGGGAATTGTTCCACTTTATGGACAAATGCTTCACCCCACATAAAGTCATACATGTCAAGGAGAAATGGAAAGAAAGAATCAAAAAAAAAATATATATATACATATAATCTATTACTAGAAATATCCTTTAAGATGAAAAAGTAAAATGATCCATTTCTCTCCAAGTCTTTTCAACTTCTGCTTATGAATGGAGACATGGATGGAGTAGTTCTCTTTGTTATTGTTCATTTTCTCTTGTAGTGATGTGGTCGAATGAAGGTAGTATGTTTGTAAAAAAAGCGTTTCATTCTGACTTTATGTGGTTGAAGCATTTCTGCTTGAAGTGGAATAATTTCTCTTTGATAGGAAGATATGGTCCAGCCCTCTCTGGATATGATAATTTTGACCAAATGAACGCATTTTTTGCGTTTTCTCATTAGTGTTAACGACTCACAATTGCGGTTTCATTTTGAGCGTTTACACGCGCTTTTCTAAATTTTTGTCTGCTTGAGTCGGTTGGTCCTTTCTTCACTCACAAACATTCACTCAAATTATGAAAATTTTATTAAACTATTTCATTAATGAGAAACTAATAAATCACGTTTTCAGTCACGTAGGAAACATGTGTCAATCAATTATTATTTTGAACGTGGAATATTAATGTATCTTTCAACATTTTGCACTTTTTCATGGCCGGAACCGAAAGCCAAACGAGCGTGAAAGAGAGAACGCTCGGCACGTGTAAAAGCTGCGTCATAATTTTGAAGATCTCCATATGTTCTTGCTGTATTGAAATGAATCACATACATCGATGAATAATTAGGAGATAGTAATGATTCTTGAATATGGAGTGATTTCTCATAGAATTGAGCAGCTTCTGTTTTCATTTCCATAGGTGAATAAATTGATACAATGCTACTGTATATTGGAACTAATGATGTGTCTTTAGGACTAAATATTTTTTCCTGAATGGCTAATGCTTTTTGATAAAATAGCAAAGCATTTGTTTTGTCATCCATAGAACCATAAGCGACACCAATATTATTATAAGTTGTTTCCAAGGATAGATCATCAAGAGAAAGTGTTTGTTCCAGTATTGCTAAAACATTTCAATAAAAGTTCCAAGCATCTGAATACTTGTTCATCGAATGATGTATAGATGCAATATGTCTATACGGTGAAGCTAATGCTCGATCATTGTGAGAGAGAGCTTTTTCTCGAATGGCAAGTGCTTTTTGATGATATAACAGAGAATTCTGTTTATCATCTACACAATCATAAGCAACTGCAATATTATTATAAATTGTTTCCAAGGATGCATCATCCAAAGAAAGTATTTTCTCTTCAATTGCTATTGCTTTTCGATAATAACTAATAGCATCTGACTAATTTTTCATTGAATGATAAATTGATCCCAGATTACTATAGACATTAGCCAGTGATGAACCATTCGCAACAAGATCTTTTTCATGACTTGTACACGCTTTTTCATAATATGAAATTGCATTTTGATAATTATCTATCGCGTAATATGTTAGACCAATGTTGTAATAAGTTTTTGTCAAATTCTGATGATCCGATGGTAACAATCTTTGTTGTATCGCTAATGCTTTCTCGAATAATGAAATAGCTGTTGGATAAGTTTTCATCTAATAATACGTGAGTTCCATATTGGAATATGTTGTTGTTAATGATTGTTCTCTAGTTGATTTGGAATGTTGTTGAATGTCTAATGCTTTCTCATAGAATGACAATACTGTTGAATAGTCTTTCATCAAATTATGAATTAAACCAAGATTGTTATAAGTTATAGCTATAGATAGATGATCTTCTGAACGTGATTTCAATCGGAGATTGAGAGCTTTTTGTAAAAATGATAGTGCTTTGTATAATCTTTTATTGAATGATAAATCAAACCAATGTTATTGTAGATGTTAACTAAATCCGGATGATTATTTGAAAGAGATTTCTGTTGAATTTCAAGTGCTTTTTCATAGCAAACATGTGCTTTCGATTTGTCGCCGATTGAACTATGAATTGTACCAAGATTATTATAACTATTAGCCATCTCGGGATGATTTTCACCAAGAGAATGTTGACGAATATCGAAAGCTTTCTGATAATAAGATTGTGCAATCGATTTATCATCCATTGAATTATAAATAGAACCCTGGTTATCATATATATTAGTGAAACTGATACGATCTTTGCTAAGAGATTTTTTTCGAATATCGAGTGACTTTTGAAAAAATGATAATGCAGTTGTATAATTTCCCATTGCATTATGTACCGAACCAATATTGTTGTAATTCATAGCTATATCAGGATGATTAGGTGGAAGAGATATTTCTTGAATTCTGAAGGATTTTTCATGAAATGCAAGTCCTTTTAAATGATTTCCCATTGAACTGTGCATTGTACCAATGTTGCCATAGCTAATAGCTAAATCCACATGTGTAGAAGGAAGAATTTTTTCTTGAATTTTGAGTCTTTTAATAATATGAAAGTGCAGTTCGATCGTCGCCCAATGAACTATAGGCTGTTCCGATATTATTATTAATTGTACCAAAATCTGGATGATTGGGAAGGAGAGACTTTTCTCGCATTGTAAATGTTGTTTTGTAGAAGTCAAGTGCAGCCACATAATCACCCATTGAACTATGAACTGATCCAAGGTTATTGTATGTAGTATCTAACAAAGGATGATCGGCATGAAGAGCTTTTCTATAAAAAGATAGAGCTGATGAATATTTACCCATTGAATGATGCACCCCAGCAATATTTTTGTAGGTAGTAGCCAATGACGAATCATCTTCGGCAACATAGTTCTGTTCCATTTCAAGTGCTTTTTTGTAATGTGATAAAGCAGTCGTATAGTCACCCTTATGACTATACACATATCCAAGTTGATGATTGAGATGAGCTTGACTGCACCAAGTTTTTTCATTTTCGAAATTGAGTTGTGTACCAAAGATATCTTCAGCTTGATGGAATTCACCCAATTTCAGCATCAAACTTCCTAATCAATCCAAAGGATCACCGCTTCCAATCTCTTTTCTAAAATGATTCAATTAATATCTTGAGTGTTAGATCATTGTCACTTGTTAGACTTAGATTAACGAGCCAATATTGATCTTGAATATGTTGAACATCAACAACACGAAAAACAGTATGCATAGAGAAAAAAATTTCATTTTCATAGTTGTAAGAACTATTTTCTTCTAAATAAGCAAACGGAATTGATGATTTCGTAGGGATCAATGGTCATTTGAAAGAGTACTGCATTCACTTTTTGGATTCTCAGCTGCACACACAGCGAATTGTATTGAAAAATTTAAATCAAGACTGGTTGATAAAAAATTGTTTAATGAAAGAAGATCGGCAACACTGTTTTTCAACTTATCGAATTCATCTAATAACATACCTTGACTACGATATACCGTTATTTCTTTGTGTCGATTACTTTGTTCTTTATACATTTTTTGAAATTTGTTGATGAAAATCGCAAATAATAAATCCCATTTTCATAATAGTTTCAATATCTTGTGATCTTAGAGCACGATTCATCATCGAAAATAGAAAAGACTCTTTCGTATACCATTCAACAACTATTTGATCATTGCACTCTAATTTAAAGTCATCGATGAGTCCCAGTTGACATTCATTATCAGCATATTTAATACGACAGAATTTAACCAGTGCATTCTTCCGTTTATAATCACGTTTCATATCGAGTAGAATTTCTTTAAGTAATTGCGTATACATAAATGATTTGTTTAGTTCACTGGATCCACTGTCTTGAATCTCCATCTCGTGTTTTGGTAGGATCCTAATCGGAGGCACACTATCAATTTGACCATTATCGGCCTTAATCGCTTGAAAGATCTGTTCCATGTCATGAAAAATTCCTTTCACTCTTTGCGCCCATTTATTAGTCCTGTGATATGTTGATTTCACTTATATTTTATTTCTATAAATTTACCTTTTTCAAAAACATCCCTTTATAAACAACAATGCAACACTATATATAGTGATAACAACTGTTGGAAAATTCCCAATGAAACATTTCATAAAAACGAACGAAAGAAAGAAAAACAGAATGAATGGGAAAATTCCCATAGCTAACGGGAAAAAACCTTATACATACATCTAACTAAGATCGAGGGCATAACACGCCCAGTTTGCTCATAGCTGTTTTTTGTGGATGAAATATATAGATACAATCAAGTTGTGATTTACCGACAATAATTGGTACAAGTTGTTCACCGGCTAGATCCAAAACAATAAGAACTACTGTCTGTTCAATGATGTTATCAATACAATTAATACATTGATGAGAATCAGTGAATGTATAAATCGAATTGGCAATGTGGTTAAGTTTAGTGATTGAGTTCTGATAGATTTTTTCAAGTTCATCTATACGAGGGTCCACCCAGATAATAACCAAATTTTGGTTCACATCATACTGCGAATGTATTGAGAAATTGGTGGACTTTTTTCTTCCAATCGATGCTTTTAAAGCTGTTGAGCTAGCTCTCGATGAAGCACTAGTGATTCTTTTTGCTGTACCATTCTGAGATGTGACAGAGGGTGTTCGGATCTGTCTACTAGTCTGAAATGTTGCACTTGCTGTTCTCTTTGCTGCGTCATTCTAGGATGTGGAAGAAGATATTCGAGTTTATTTATTATTTTAAGATATTGCACTTGTTATTCGTTGGGTCACATCTTTTTTCGATGAGGAACGCGATATTTCTTTCGGTTGGTTACTGCATTTGCTTTGAGATGTTGTAGATTAGTAATCTGAGTGACTGCCGACGATCCACAACCCATGGAGAATAATATAATTTTATTTTTGATAGTAGATTCGAATACATGCTTCTAAGAAATGAAAAACTTTCTCGATAATAAATAATTTCAATACGTTGATGTTCTTCAAATTTTTCAAAATCAAAATTTGATTACTTCTTCAACAAACATTTTGATGATCATATGTAAAATGTCTCTTTCTGCTGACATTATAATGTGTAATGAATTATGGAGAAAGAAAAAAAGCTGCCACTAAGGAAGAAACATGTTGGTAATACATACATTCAACGCTTTTCATGACGATGCTAGCGTTTCATCAGCATAGTCAAAAGTAGTGAGCAATCAAAATGAAATATTCAAGCAATGTTGTGTTTTCCAGTGACGGCATCATATTTTAGAAACATTTGGATTGATTCTCTTTCTTTCTTTCTTCATGTTTACAAAAGAATTCAGACTGTCTTAAAACAACATATATACCTCCGGATTGCAGTATAACAAGTATGAAATACAAAAAATAAGTTAAACTCAAGTAATTACTTCTTTGTACTCAAACAATATTCAACAGAACTCATCTAAAAGGAAAAAGTCTTGAAAATACATATGAAGGATTTCAAAGAAAATCAAATGCCTTTTTTCTCGCAATGGATTTTTTTACTATGTTGAAGTTATGTTTCAGTTCTGTAATAGATATTGTAGTACCCACCACGCGTCTTCATTTAAAAACTACAAAGTACATAGTAAAAAAAAATTACATTTTTCTCAATCGAATAAAGACCAACCATAATCAACAATGGATAGATCTTTTCCATGTCATAAATATCGGATGTTGGACTGTATTTCAAAAATCGACAGGTACGCACCCTATTCAACCTCAACATCATCTTTCTTCCTGGTTCGACAGTTTAACTACTTTACTACGAATTATTGGTTTTCGGCAGCTAATTGAATTTTCGTGAATAAAGAAAAATATCATGAACATGCATCAATATTCGAATTTTGAAGGGTTTGAATTTAGGTTTGAGCGTGAATATGGAGTATGGATGCGAGTATGAGTGTGAAGTGTGTGTATATGAACACTCACACCCACATCCCGACTTGGGCTTTATAATAAAAGATTTTATTTTGGATTACCAGAAATTTAGTGTTGTTTATGAAGAAATTTATTTTCAGTGTAATCAATTGAATGTTAGATAAACATGTCAGCATTTGAAAGTACATATAAAAGAACATTCTTCGCTCAAACATTACTATTTTCAATCTTCCATCCCTTCCTGCATGATCGTGACAGACATATTGGGTGGAAGCCAGTGTAGATCTTTTCTTCATTTATCTTCTGCTGTAAAACTATTTGATTCACAGAAAGATGGAAGATGTGATGTTTGCCAGAGAACTCAATATTTTTTATATTTGATCAACTTTATTTTAATCATATTTTTACTTTCACATCGTGGCATGTTCTTGCTTATCAATTTAATACTCGACGACTTACTACAATGCGTTATTCTAGTATCAAATTACGATTACTATTTGACGCAAAGATGATCAGTGTCCTAGAAAAGGTTTTTACCATCATTTACTTCGACAAAAGGAGGTGATGAAAAAGTTGTGATTGAAACTGAAACTGACTACTTGGATATTGAATTTTATAGAAGCATTTTCATTCACATGCTCATGCATGAATGGTTGCTAAATATCTTATTTCGAAAGTTCTTAATTGAAAAATCTCATGTGGCGCAGCACTCTCATCTTGAGAAGTTACATTACATATACTCATCGATACGAGAATCGAATGGAAACTTAGGAGACCTTTTATCAACCTATCGAAAGATGTGCTCTATGTATTCGTTTACTAGGTAAATGTTCTTTTGAAGGTAATGCTATTGTCAATACAAGCGACCTTTACCGGAAAGTGGCTCTTAGTACATATTAGAATACGAAATACTCTATGAGATTCGTTTGTCTTGCTTGTGCTCTTTTAGATTACGAAGGATGTGTTCTTCTATTATCTGTATAGACTTGTTGTTGTGTTTTATCTTTGTCAAACATTTGAATATCTGCAAATGTCTAAAATGATCTGATATTAAGATTACTAACGAATTACAGTTGAATACATACCCACAACTTCGTTATTATCTATTGGATTTCGAAAATCTCAAGTTCATCAAAAATTTGTGGAATCGTCTGTTTTTTCTTCTAGATGAGTAATGCTACACTTGCTTTTCTTCTTTGTGTACAGCTGTTCAACGTAGTCTTTGTACTGGCAGGTCAAGAATCATTTAGAGATAGTAAAGGTTTAAAGACAATCTTGATATGTATGTTCTTTCATGTTTATTTCATTGTAAAATGTTCTCTCGTTTAGCGAAAACAACAGGTAATGGAAGTTTAGAGCCAGACTTTGTGACAGCACGTGTTCCGATGCGTGATCGTATCGATCTCACTGTTGACTACTTTCTGGCCTCACCAACAGGTCGATATCCAGCTATTGTTGAAATTACACCATATGGTCGAATTCTTCAACGACCCAACTTTCGTTCTGAAGCCAGTTATTGGATAAAGCATGGCTATGCTTTTATTATTGCTGATGCTCGTGGCACAGGTGATTCCGGTGGCGAGTATATCTTTTTGTCTCATGAGGGTAAAGATGGCTATGATCTGATCGAGTGGATCGCACGTCAACCGTGGTCAAACGGTCGTGTTGGTATGCGTGGTGCCTCTTATTCTGGTGAGAATCAATGGTATACCGCACGTGAACGTCCACCACACCTGTTGTGCATCACTCCGAGCGCGACACCTGCAAGGCCTATGCATGAAGTACCTTATGATCATGGTGCATTTACACTTAGTTGGTCACTCAGTTGGATAGGATCGAGCTTAAATATCATGAAACCACCAGCAGTTGAGGCTCATTCCAATCCGATGACATGGCTCAATCATCGGCCTCTTCGCACTTTAGATGTTTATGCTGTTGGACGTGAATTACCTCTCTATCGGACCTTTCTCGATCATCCAACTCTTGATGATTTCTGGGACAAGATCAGCTTCATTCCGAACGATTTTGCAAGGATCAACATACCGACACTTGCCTTTACTGGTTGGTTCGATAGCACATTGACTGGTACGATCGAACATTATCAAAACATTCGTCGCTTTTCTTCATTGAAAGAAGACCATTTCTTAATTGTTGGACCCTATTCACATAGTACCGCACCCGACGGTGGTTATGACTATTTAACTGATGAACCAGTGCCAAATGTAGGTGATATTCCAGTTCCCGAAAATGGACTTTTACCAGCTAGAGACATGACACGACAGTTCTATGATTGGTGTCTTAAAGACAAACCACGACCCAACTGGCAACCAATTAGAATCTTTGTAACAGGTAGCAATGAATGGATGACACTGAATGTCTTTCCTCCGGAGAATGCTTACGAAAAATCTCTATTTTTGATGAGTGAAGGTCATGCTAACAGCATTACAGGCGACGGACGCCTACAGTGGGAGTCACCAGAAACTACTGTGGTTGATCATTATCGCTATAATCCAATGGATCCACTAGTCATTGATATGAACAAGAAGCCATATGAACTACCGGTTGACATCAATTGTCTGTTAGATCGAAACGACGTTCTCGTTTACACCAGTGAAATACTGAATAGTTCGTTAACCGTGATTGGTAACATCATCATAGAGCTTGCATTTTCTAGTTCGGCACGAGACAGTGATTTGGTAATTCAATTGATGGATGTCATGCCAGATGGAAGTTCAATCAAACTCGGTTCAGGCTTTTCTAGTCAACTTCGATTACGTTATCGTGATGGTTTCGATCGTGAGGTTCTCATGACACAAGGAACAACTTACTTCGTTAGCATCGATCTGAACGAAATTGGACATACTTTTCTTCCACAGCATCGTATTAGACTCGCTGTTACCAGTAGTTTCTATCCATGGCTCAGTGCGAATCCAAATACCGGTAATCCAATAGCAACTGATACTCAGCCATCTGTCGTAGCTGATCAGACAATTTACTACATGTCTAGCCAACCATCACGCATGCGCATGATGATAGTTGACAATCCAGTATTTGATCCATGAAAGAGTTTACAACTTCAAATATACTCATCACTAAACTATACAAAACGAACCATTTCTTTATAAAGATTTTCGTAGAGGTAGTTTTAAAAAATCACTTTTTCATATGATTTTTGCACTTGTGGAATATTTATCTTTAAGAGTAATTTGAATATATCTTCATTTTTTTTAAAGTTATCTGTTTGATCGCAGATAACTCTTAATATTAAACTAGACATACTATTTCATGTTGTTTGCTAAGTCAAGAATTTCAATCATATCTTTCCAATGACATTCTTTTAATTCTTTAGGTTTTATTTCATCAATAAAAGGAATCCTCTACGAGCAATTCAAATGAATATAAAAAGAAACAGTTAATTTTTAAAAAGAAAAATATACTTTAAAAAAATCTTCCATGTTAGTTTTAATAACATGATAAGATAATAATTTTTAGCGGATGTTATCAGAACTGTCATTATGTAATTGATTACAATCATTTTCAACAGAATTTGGAAGACTACAGTTTTCATCGTGTTTAACGGTGTCAGCACGAAAGGAATTTTGAAATGCTCTATTCGTCCTGGAAAAGAAATAAGAGTTCATCTACAATTCAGTAGCTATTGTATTTATTTGTTCTATAAAATATCAAGAAAAGCTAAAGCATATGAACATGATATCCAATGAAGAAATGTTAGACTAAGTCTTTACGGTGATCTCATAGAATCTTAAAGTTCTTTGGGAAAATCTTGCTACTAGAGTATTTCAAAATAATAAGTTCTACTGTGAATATCCTATGTATTGATACACTCATAAGAGATCCGCTCAGGTTGTTGTATAACGCCCATTGTTTTGTCATCTAGTTGATTGAACTGACATTAAGTGAACATTCAAACGTTGAGGGTGTGGATAAGTGTGAGTGTCGGAAGGAAGGACACCCACACCCATGTTACATGAATCTTATAATTGAATATCTGACTCGACCACAATCTATTTTATCTGGCAATATTCTGAATGGATAGGTGTTGTAGCTATATTCATGTGTACTAGCAAATGGTTTACACCAGTTAACGCTCAGGCTGTACACCGATAACGCACCAGTAACAAAACTCTGACGAGAGGCGTTTTGGTCAATACAATGTAATTAACATTAGTCAACATCTCACTACTTCTCCGACACAAGAAGAACGCACCAATGATTCTCGGTATTTGATTAGGTGGCATACATCTGAACCGAGATATATTATGAGTTGGAATTGGGATGCGTGTAGATGTGCTCTTTATCTTAATTAATCCACATCCATACTCAAAATCATCATACAAAACAAGTGATATCGTTGTGATGCTGACAAATATTGGCAATTTAATCCTTGAGCAAAGTCAATGCGAGCCAAGTATCATGTTTCGATTTGAGAACTATATTTTTTCTGCTGACATGAGTATGGACCAAAAGCAAATAAGAAGTGTATCATGAAATATTGAAAGCAGCAGAGAAACAAAATAACATCTGCATTCAGTTTTTTTATGTGTAGTTAGGCAAGAAAATAATTGAGAATCGAAAACGACATGATCGAAACTTCTAATCGCTATAATTCAGATATGACAAACTGTATCGTGACGATTTAGATCTTCTTCTTCTTAGAAACATTCTTGGCATGTAAATTACTGTGCTAGAAAAAGAAGCAAGTGACTATTATCTGCTTGCTCCTTCGTTTGAAACATATGTTTCAATCGTAGTAACTTTCTTTTTTTCCTCCTGTGTTTTACTGCAGCAGAGGAAAAAATCAAGTTCGTACTACAGGAAGAATATTTTTTTCCATTTTTCAGCTCAAAAAAGATAATCATCTCTCAAGTCTTACACTAAATTCTATGAAGCAGCTTCTTGAAAGAGCTTAACAACACATAAGATTTCCAAGACTTTGGTAGTGACATCTTTAGGTACGTTAAAATCTACAAAAACTCTTAATAGGCTTTAGTATACGATGTTAGAGGCGGCTATTTATATCTATATTAAAAGATCATACTAGATTAGAGGCATAATCCTGTAATATTTTAATATTTGATGGATTGATCTGATTCGACTTTTTCGCCGTGAGACATTTGGAGAATAACTAGCATCGATGCAATTATAAAAGTTGATGTCAATGATTCATATAACTCGTCGGTGTATTTACATATGTGATGTGAGAAAAAAGTTTAAAAACATACGAACATTTAAAGTGTATGAATCATTTAGCTAGTTGTTTGTTGGATGCATTTTCTTTGCTTTCTCTTTTTATTTTAATATTAATCAAATCTTTCTCTCTTAAATGCGCATGTTTGACCAAAAAAGCGAACGCTGTTGAATGCAGCTAAGAGCAGTTCTGATTTAGACTTCTTTTTTTTTGTGTCCTTCAGTGCTCCATTTGTCTGTTTTCATTTATAAAATATTCACTTTTATATAACAAAATTGTTTTTCATAATGGAAAGTTAAGTTTATCATAATTTTCTTTTTTTTTTCGAAGATTTCACTTGCTCATCGATCATGACTACGACACCGAATGTAACTCGTCGACCGAATAATGTAACCAGGCATTTTTTTAATCGTTTAACGACTTCATATATACAAAGTGATTCAATCAATGCAGCAAGTAGAACACCCGCTTCTATGAGTAATGACAATACGGAGTCTTCGACATGGGTTGATTCATTAACGCATCTTGATCGTGTATTTTCTGGTAGCCTACTTCGTTTATGCTACAATGTAATTGATATTGTTCTTCTCTCTCTTGGTCTTTTCTACGGTACAAAAACGTGTAGAATTTCGAAGACTCTCGTAATAATATCAATTTGCATACTCGTTTTTGGTACTCTTGAACTTGCTATTACTCTTCTATTTTTTTCTACGAAACTTGTCTTTATGTCATATGACTTTGTCCGATGCAGCAAATACAGGTCGATATCGTCAAGGATCAGCCCTACGTAGTTTTTTTCGATTTCTTAAATTTATCTCTGTATGTGTCGCTACGGCCTATGTATTTACATCGAAAATATCGGCAAACAGCAATTGTGAACTTATTCGTTTCTATCTTGGCATTGTATGTTTTAGTATGTGGGTTTTAATTTTTATTTGGCCACCAAAACCTTCACTTCCGAGGCGACGTTCATTAATGATTGTATCTCTTGTTTTTATCTTCTCTATTATTTTCAATAGCATTTATTTCGGTGTTGTGATACGTTTTACGATTAAAACAAAAAATTCAGAATGTGTTTATACACGTATTGAAGATCTATATTTTCGCGCACCACTGAAATTATTTGCTTACGTTGGACTTATTTTAGCTGTTTGCACTGTAGTTAATAATAGTCTTGCAGCCATTCTCAATCAACTTTATTATCGTCTAATGAATTTTCGAAGATTTTTCATCTATGTATCAGCTATTCATTATGCCATATCTTATTCTACAACCGTCGTTATTGTGTACTATTATTCAGTTGGAGCTGTTCTTCTATTTCGGCCTCGCTCAGGTGGATCATGCGCCGCAGTAGTTCCTGATTTTTACAAAGTCCTTTGGATATGGCATTTAATTCTTGTCTTTCCACCACTTGCTATCTGGCCTCTTACATTTCTTGTTTGTTGTCTGAGTGTTGCATTGGGAGCTTGTCTTCTATACTGTTTTCCCGCATCGATTATTGTGCCGCTCCTCGAAATGCTTGGAGTATGTCTCGTTTGAAAAGTTCAACATTTGATTTTTACTCTCTCTCTCTCTATTTTCAGGAAAGGTTAATGGATATTTATGGTGCAAACAATCAAAATACTCCATCATCACCAAATACTATTGAGGCCTTACCAATGGTAGTTTTTGGAGAAGCATCCAATGAATTCAATCAAACTGAATGGTTAGTGAAAACAAAAATTACAAGAAAGATCCTAAAGTTTCTGTTTTTATTAATATTCTTCTAGTGTCATTTGTAAAACGAATTATAAGGCCAATGAAAATGTGAAAAGATTGCCGTGTGGCCATTTCTTTCATCAGAGTTGTGTAGCTCATTGGCTGTCAATTACACGTATCTGTCCTGTTTGCCGTCACCGCATTTCATCAACGACTTTATAGAATAGTTTTATTCGCTTCTAAGTGTGATTATGTCTTATACTTAAATATAATTTGTATTTAAAATAAAGAATATATATTTATTTTATAATAAAATAAAATTAACTATTGAAACTGGCCGACTATTCACAAATTTGAAATTCACGGAAATCTAGTGAGAACCAGATTTTGAAGCACTGTAGTCAACATGAGGTATGGATGTGGATATGCGTGTGTGGGTAGGGTGGATGTACGTCAAGTCAAGAGTAATACCCACATACACACTTTGGTTTTCTGACGAAAACTGACTTTTTCTGAGAAGGAGGAGATCTTAAACACGACCGGTTTTGAAGCAAAAATATGATTACGGACCTTTTTTGAGGATGAAGGGCTTCAATATTATCAGGAAGAACTTGAGTCTACGATATGGCTGCAAAAAACTGAAGCAATCAATGGCAATCAATCACAATCTACGCAATTGGACAATCAGCTTTTTCCATCTTGCGTTATTCTTGCTGCGACATAAAACATTGAAACACTTCCAACTTTCTGTTTGTATATAATAAGGTGTGCCGTCAACAGCATTATCATACTCAGTGTTTCCATACTTAAAAAGCACAAGACAGGCACCCAAAAAAGAAAATGATTTCTTGTTACAGTTTTCTTATAACGTTATTAGTTGATATTACCATTACTGATATAAATGTCAACTCAAGCAAATGATATTCTGGGCACTTACCAACACTGCTGAATGAGAAGCAGGTGTAATCTTTAATGAGAATATCGCTCGATGTTGCCAATCACATAGTGCCAAACATGTGAAGGGTGGTCCAACTGCACAATATTGAACTGATACTGACCAAGATGATGTATTTCAAAAACAGTGGTATTATGCCCGTTCTCGATATTGCGTAAATGATACACTTATCGCTGTCAAGAAAGGTGTTGGTAATGAAC